TTTCCATACCTTTAATTTCTTGGTGTTAACCCTCGGTCGAGGGAAACAAAGCCTACTTCGAAATACTGTGGGGTTAAAGTTAGAAGATGATCGATAAATAACTATGAAAATGCACATCTAGGGAAACTGCTGATAGATTAAGTTGGCAGGAAGTTCGAGCTGGCGAAGTCCTACAAAATAGGACTTTTTAAACCGCTTAGCATTCTTCTATTATCAGTCGCGCTGGTCGGGGCTTGTTATTTACCGGGGTAGACTACCTATATATATCCCAGTGATTGCAGTTTAGAAAAATTCTCCTTGTCGTTCCCCTTGCAAAGTTACAGAGAACGGGATGTAGAAATATGCACATCAACATTAGGGTATAGACGGTTACATAAACCTATTAACCCTATGGAGTATTAGAAGAGAAAGGTCCAAAGGAATTTGATTGAAAACAATAGGTCACTTTAAGAGGGAAGGAAAACCTCAGAAGCCGCAGACTAAATTCCTTGGAGTAATACCAAAATAAAAAGCCAAATAAATCGGAAGTTGAAATCAACCACAAATCATGCGATCAGTTCGATGAATTGAAATGTTATTATTGTTATTATTAGACTCTAAGCTACGGTTAAGTCTGTTTTTCCGTTTCCACAAACACTTCCCGAAGTAGCCCCAAAATTCCAAAAAGCTGAAAGTTTCTAGCCGTCTCCAAAATCAAAATACAATCTGACAGGGGCTAATCCCAGCCAAAGATTCATAAAATGGAACCCAAATGAAAATAGAGCGAGACTGCATCATCGCTCCATGACGAGACAGATGTTCTAAACCAGGAATCTAAGGTTAATATCATGTTCTCCTATCAATATTTAGCCTTTAGCCGGTTCTTATCATCAGCGCTGCAGTGCGAGCGTTTCTTCGACCAAATAAGTTTGACACCTCGAGAAAATCGAGCAGGCGAGAGGTCTGTAAGTGGTTTCTCGCCAGCTCCCTTTACTCAAGGCATCATACACTTAGTCACGAGCGAAAAAAAAAAACACGCGTACCCGGCTGCGTCAATAATGAGAGCTTGGTCGCTGTCTAGTCCATATCATTAGGGTATGAAAATCCTTGAGGTCTTTGAGCCCCTTCCAAGCCCCCGACAGTGCCGGTAATAACATGAGTTGTAACAGTTTTAAAATATGTTTCTGTAAGAATCTTTCACTTTTTCGTGTACTTTTATGATCCTAGCTTGAAAATAAAGAAATAAATGGATGAATGGACGAATGATTGAATGAGAATTTGGCGATCTCCCTACTGCCTGCAGATTTACAAATTACCTTCATAAATTCAAATCAAATTTTGTTTGTGTAATGCTGTGTGGTGATATATTATGCATAAATCTTGGAATGAATACTCATTCGTTTATCAGAAACAATTATCCGAGACCGGAAGAAAACATAGGATAATGGAATAACAATCACTGACAAATCGAATTTCTTTTAAAATGTTAAAAGTTTTGAAGAAAACTGAAAATTCATCGCCTTCGAGGTGTTGAACGTCGTATAATTTCCGCACCAGAAAATTAAAGAAGAGTCGAAGTTCATTCATTATTTCCTACTGATGAATTGAGTAAACATTGTTCGCCTTCAGGAATTGCGTAGTCATCAATGCGAATCACTTTCTCCGTATTTTGTTTTCAAATAAAATTTTATCTCTCTCTCTCATTTCCCTTAAGATGTCTAAGATCCAATCGGATTAGATTAAAGAAAACAAACAATTCACCTTGTCGAAACACGTAGACTGAGTGGCAGCGCAAAATCGTTTTAATCTGACTGAATTAAATAATATATTTCTTCACACAAACATCTACAGCATTCATTGTAGATGTACCATAAGATTACACTTGAGTTCTCAACTTTCGGAGGCGGTGTCGGAAGGTCGAAATCGATAGTCTCAGAACTGGTTATCGTTACTGAGTTATCAGTTCACGAATTTTTCCAACGAAAGTCGTTACCTACCATAGCGCACTTTACAGGCAGGTGGAAATCTCACTTCATGTTATAATTCACTCAGAGAATACGTCTTGTTTGGATTCGGTGGGTATATATGTATGTATTATCTAACATTTCCCTTGTATATACCTGTTCATTGTACTGATACGTTTAGTGGGAAGATGGCCAACTCAGTGCCTTGTTGTTCTCTGAGAACTGTTAAAAAGCAATCTTTAAAAACACGCGCCATTTTATTAAAAGCATTCTTCAGAAGGCAGGTTTTTTAGTTGTAACAGTGATGATAGAGGGAAAGCCTTTCCCAGTAACACATTTTCTCATTTTGAGTAGACAAGAGTAGAAACACTTTCTGTAGATTCTACTCTCAGCTTTGAGTTCATGAAAAGAAATCTCTAAAATTCTTCATCAAGAAGGGCTCATAAAAGTGTCGAAAGGGAGTGTGGGTAAGTACAACTCCCTCCCCTTAATCCGAAGTTCTACTTTCTTTTTACAATATTTTTCATCGATTTCCAAATTGATGTAAAGTGCTCATTAAATAGTTGATACATATACCAGGTTCTCATGAGCTGCAACTAGTACATTCTATTTTACCAAAGCTGCTGAGGATGAATGCTTCAGCAAAAGGACCATTAAAAAGAACAGAAAAGAATAAACGAACTAGGAAAAAGACTGTGAGCAAGCACAAAACCCACTTGCTAATCTTAAAACATAAAATAAAGACAGAACATATCGGTTGCTGAGGATCACGTCAAACAAAGCAAACACACGCATGTCTCCTACATCCGAGGGAGTTATCGTTAATGAAAAGGCGTTTCACTGCGTTTAATACTTGATTTTGAAGTATGGTTACTAATTTCGCTTTTGAATATCGTCACTGCAGCTTACTGATAGTGGACCAAGATTTGGATAAACTGACGCTTATGTCATGTTCTCGGCTTTCGTGATCACAGCAACATTGCGCAGGATTATGTTTTTATTTTGAACTCAATGTTTGTTCCTATGTTTATTCCTTTAAAGTGTAATAACAGAAATTACAAGCGTAAACACATTTCTAATGGGTATTCATTTCGGCAAGATATAGCCTTAGGGCGAAAACTGTGTCGTAAATAACAATTTTCCTGCCCTTTTGGGTACAAGAAGAATTTCAACAGCGTGTGAGACAATTAGCACAGTTTAATCATTTCGAGTAGTTTGTTAGTTTTTGGTGAAATAGAACTTTCTTTAAAACAGTGATCAAAATAAAAGATTCTTCGAAGGGAAATGAAATTCTCACTACGAGAACAGTTCATGGTCCAAAAGGTGACCCTTAGAATACGGTCAGTTCCCTTTCCCAGTGTGTTCGTCGCGCGAATCATACGGAATTAGTTCAGGGCCAGTTTTACATTTGCCGGGCGGATTTCTACTGAGTTACACTACGGACTTTATGGTTAAAATGGGACTGCTGGTAATCTACGTAACGATTCTGAAAATTTGAAGTTTCTTCTCTCATAGTCGGAGAAGGGACGGTCTTAGACTGCGCACATTTAAACATTTGATGAGGTATTTTGTTTGACTGAGGGCGGGGTTACGTAAGAGTCCAATCAATAAATTGTCTCGTAATCTATCTACGATTAAAATTACCTTTTCTCAGCTAAAAAATCTCTGGGCAAAACGAAAGTTTGCGGATTACCCGATAAAGCCGAGGTCTATAATTCTCGTGTAGTTTCTTAGTTCGCAGTTTTGATTAATTTTCGTCATTTGCCAAAGGGTCTATCAGTCAGCACACGAGGAAGCATGAAAAGAAACTTCCGTTTCCATCGAAACTACACAAGAAACCAGGATCGAAAGTTTTTTTTTGGTTTTGTTTCGTTTTGTGACCGTCGAAATATTTCCTACCTGGATGCATCGAGCGAAATGTAAATTAAAACAGAGAGATAAGTCGTTGAAATTAGTTTGTGTTGTTCTTCCATTGATCGTGGTTGACATATCTTTGTTTTCCTTTCCTTCAACCATCAATAACTATTTATACAAGATAGCTTCTACAATTTGCCTCCGCAATTATTCCCGAGCACGTAGGAATTGTCGGAATATTAAAATCGCGGCTCAGCTGTCAATTCATGCAAGTTTGAAACTAAAGAATGACTCCATTTCGCGTGGGTGCTTTGTCTCAAACTTTGCATTTGAAGGACAAATGACGTGTGAGCAGTTGTTTTCATGTTTCATCAGAGCCGACTGTTTGGGGTCACTCTGTGACGTATTAAAGGGGTTGAATTAAAACGTCAGTACTTTACGACAAAGATTAAACGTGGCTGCAGAGACAACAATGAAAATGTATTGCACTGTTCATACGCGTTTTTTCCATTACTGTTACAATAGTAATGCTTTCGACGGGAATCAAATAAAGCTGCGAGCTCTGCCTGTTCAATATACCCCCTTGCCGCTTTGAATTTGCGGACGCGAGTCTGAGCAAATGGATTTTCAGCTTTGAAACCGAGTTTGCACGTTTACTTCTATAAAAGTTTACCTTAGTTTTAAATTCCGAAATATCAATTGAAGAGGGGCGAATGCAAAGCAATTTGCTCCAGTTCAATCTCATTGTTCTCAGAATCTGCTATACGTGACAGTTATACCCTTAGACTAAATACTTAAGCATTTATTCAAAAAATACCTTGTTCAAAAATTCATGCTGATGATCAAATATTCTTACTAAGTAGAAAATTGCTCTAAGGTTTACGTTAGTGTCTAAAGAGTGAGCGTCATGTAGTTTCGTTACAACTGATTTGAAAAAAGCATCTATGAGTTGACCCTTTCTGTCTGTTGATTTAATTGACTTTCCGTCGCCGCGGTTTGAAAGCCTGCTCCCTTGTAATTTCCTGTTTGAATAGCTTGAAAATTAACAAGTCCGCATTTGCCAAGTAGAGCCATGTCGAACAGATATTAGTCAAAGCAGTGATTAAAAAAAAATCACATACGTGGGCATAATACAGCTGTTTCTTGACGAGGTTCAGGCAAAGTGTTAATTGTCCTCGATTTGAATCCATTTTCTTAGAACTTATTTTTTTGTTATTTCAGCCCCCCGTGATCATTTCGTCGGGATAATTTTTTCTCCGCCTCTCTCCAAAACTTTGAATTCATTTTCTTCCCTGATCGTTGAATGAGGGTAAACACTCTCACTTCTTTAGACTCATCAAAACTTGACAGCGCGTTGAGTGATTTTTGCGAAGATAAGGTGATGCATGAACTACCAGGCTCGCGAGATATTTGTCGATATTTGATTTGCGTTTCGCGGAACTAAAGCAGATCACAAACTTATGGCGCAAAACTTAGGGGATAATCAGACTTTCTACTCTTCGCGAGCGCCTGATGTGAGTTCCAGTCAGTAAATGTGACAACTTGTCGGGTCAAAGAATGGATTCATTAACGAGGCTTGTACATTTTGTTCGGATTAACTTTGCCTATGTTCTTTACCACCTAGATACACATTCATACTACGAACAAGTCGAGGGCCATGGCTGATTGTACACTGGACGGATCACTTTGGACATCCCTAATATTCTTTTTTTTAATTGCTATCCTCGCCATATTCGGGAACGGACTTGTGTGCGCGGCATTCGCAACCAACAAACGCCTCAGGATTCTCACTAACTATTATGTCGTTTCACTGGCTGTGTCGGATATTTTGGTCGGGAGCTTTAATATCCCGCTTTGGATGTACATAATGAAGAAGTAAGTAATAAGACAACGTCGTATCTATATATGTGCCTGTGGAGGCAATACAATTATCTTAAGTGAAAATTAAGTAGACCTTCGCTCTTTTGATCGATTTCAACTATTCTGATGCCCCTTTGGGACGTGACTTGGCAAAGTAAAGAGGTGTGTAATTTCAAAAATAGAAAATGTTCTTTCTCTCAAAGAGAAAATCTCTGAAACAGGAGAAATAAAGCAATTCAAGGAGAAAGCTGTTTGAAATGAAACGAAGATTATCTTTGTAAACGACGGCCACCGCGCTCTATTAGCGCAAAAGAACACAATGGATACAGGCTGTATTCAAAAATAATAATATGTCGTCACGTTATCATTCACCGTGCTCGATACTACAATCTTTGGATTTGTTTAGGGTTTGTTATGTTAATTTTTTTCCCTGTCTTTTTCGAGCTTGTTGGAAATCTTTGTAATTTATTCAATACAAGCGACAGAGTTTCACACCTGAGGCATTTTCTTTTCAGGCGAACACGAATAAATTAAACTACAGTAAATAAACTTTCTTCGCGAGTCGTATAATCAGTTATCTATCTATTATAAAAGGGCAAGCATTTGAGGCAGACAACAACTAAACTAGTCATAATTTTGAGTCCACATTATTCAGATGCCCCTGCTCAATGTAAGTGTATACCGAAGGAAAGGACATTTTTGTAACAACAATTTCCGCTGCTTCATAGGCTTTGTTTTGTTTACATGATTTGATTTCCAAGTGGGTTTTTCGGTCAAGTGCGTTTTTTTTTTTTTTTTGTACTTCCTGCCATCACTCATCGTTTTTTGGAATTTCCGCACTTGAGAAATTTCTCGAAACAGCTACGGTCAAAAAGGCAAATTAAAGAAACAGAATTTTGTCGTTGGAGATTTTATGCATGTGATGTGACTTACAAAAATGACTCATGCAAGCCAAGAATTCTTGGGTACAGTGTATTTGACTTTTGGCGTTCGACGATAAGGAATATGTTCCGTCAGAGTTTTTTAAAACGATCGATGTTATTTTAAATAAGTTCTTTCACAGTAAAAATACGAGACGAAAACGTTCTAAATTCGAAAGGGGAAAGATTTGTCTTTGAGCTAAAGAAATTAGCAAATTCGATGCAGTACTCTTTGCAGAAAGAGTTTTTGATCGTGGAATACTCACCATTCTGTTGTTCTACATTTCAGATCCCATTGTGAAAGTGAGTATGGCTACGGTTTTTACGAAGCTTTCATCATATTCGACATCTTGTGTGGTACGGCCTCGATCTGGAACATGACTGCCATAAGCATTGACAGGTTAGAAAAGCTGTGATGAATTGGATCAGGGCATAGGAATGAAGTTGATTCCTGGTTTGTCATTATCAGTCCTAATCAATATTCTCCATTAACACCTTTCCCTATTCCTCTTTGGTTGATTTTTCCCGACTTGCTATTTCTCTCTCTTACCAAACTGATATTTGGTGGCGGCTTCGCTTATGTTGAAAGCAAAATTTACCTGGCGTATAAAGCGACTCTAAATTTCCTTTCGTAGTTCCTTAAACTTCATAAAAGAGCTTCGCGATTGATTGTTGTGAAGTAAAACCGAAGTAATCATATCGGCTAGTCATAACAGAGAAAATATCACTAGGAGCTAATCAGAACTCGAAGTAAGCGCGGGTAAACGCAAGTGACCAAGTCACTATTGATTTTGATTTGCATCCGATCGGTTGAAAAGGTGGTGAGAAATTTTCGACCGATCAAAACCAAATGCCAGATCAATTTCGAAACTTAGTTGGATTTTTTTCTATGTTACTGTATACGTCTTGTTGCTACTTGAGTCACCCGCATAATGACCCTGCGGAAAAGAAGTAGAAACCGAAAAGACAGAAAAAGCAAAGCTTTCTTTGTTGGTTTTATCTATCTCGTCTCCATCCGAATTTTCTCCGCGCATGCTGCTAGCTCACCAATTGCTTCTCGTAGTTTCTTGTGTCCTATACTGTTTTCGTTTCTGGCCCTCGCAGAGTAAGAGAGCCTTTGGCTTAATCTGACGTTTAATGTTACGGTCTGGCAACCGGTGAAGATAGTTAGAGAAGTACACTCTAGAAAACATATGATTTCTTATTCATGCCGTTACTAAGTATGTAAAACAATTTTCTATTTCCCGCCCTTTTTCTTAAACACATTTTCTTTCTTTTAGCATGTTTAAAACAATTTGTTAAAAATTTCACAGGTTACAAGACATTTTGAAGTTTGTCTCTGGGATGCGTACTTTACTTGCTATTTTAGCTGCACAAAACCCATAAAACGCGCGCACTCAAGTTGCGTACGATACGTTTCCCAGGGCAAATTGCGACAAGGTGCGCGTACTATGCAAGTTTTTCTACACCCGCTTGATCACTTTTTCCTTTACTTTGTGCAGATTTGCAGCTGTGGTTTATCCGACAGTTTACAAACATCGCATGAAGAGCACAAAACTCGCTGGCTGGACAATCCTCGGTGTATGGATCTTTTCACTTTTCGTTGCCTTGCTTCGACTTGCATACCAAAAATTCAATTATGCCATGTTTGTTGTGACTCTGAGCTTCTTTATTCCGCTGTTGTTAATCTTGTTTTCATACGGAAACATTTACCGCGTGGTTCGGTATCGTGCAAAATGGACTGGGTCCGTGTTGATCGAGATCAAACTGGCGCGAACTCTTTCGATCGTGATTGGTGCATTCATTCTCTGCTGGGGGCCATTTTTCATCATCAACATAGTAACCTATTATTGTGGCTACAAGACATGTGATTATAAGGTTGCTATTAAGGTAATTAAATGGCTTCAGTACGCGAGCACCTGCATTAACCCTATCATTTATACTATCAGGAACCGTGAGTTTCGTTTCACCTTTCACAAGCTGATTTTCCGTTGTAACTACAGAAATGGAAAATACGTGTTTAACCCCCAAGAAAAGCTATCCAGTGGGTGGGGTTGCTGTCAGCTCGGCGGTCCCATCGATGTAGATTTTGGCGAGAGTCGATCGCGTTATCCGACCTATACCGAAGAAGCCATGCTTTCTAGTTCGCGCCTTCGGAGTTCAACGACGCCTACTAAAATTCAAGGGACAACTTTAGCCTTTGACAACTTATCTTCGTCACAACACATGCAGCCTAGTTGTGACACAGCCCAGCGTTTTCGTTCCTAACGTTTCTCACGGGAAAAGAGGACACATGCAGTCGTAACACCTCCTGGGCTGTTATTGCTACAAAGTAGTTGTACATAGTACAGTTAAAAAAAGAACTGTACGTGATAATTATGTCCGCTTGCAAAAAGTCTTAACAGTGCTTTGTGCTTAGTAGCGTAGATAGAGAGACCCCGACTATGAAGACAAAGGATAGTGAAAAACCAAGGGAAACTTTCTGAGATTTTGTTTTGCGAAAGATAGACGATAGATCTAGCAGCGCCAACAAAAACATCACCAAGTTACGGATGAAGCGGGGCTGAATTGAACAGAGAAACCTTTTTGACACCTTTCATTCAAATGTTCAGAATGTGATTTAGTTTTATCATCATAAACCATAAGCTACCATAAGAGTAACTGAGAGGGTATGACTCTCCAGAAATAAAGAAGACAAATCAAATAACGTTTATAAAAAAGAAATCATGACGTTTCTTATGTCTTGGTATATTTCCGGAGTTTACTTTGGTGCTGTGTGTGCGGAATTTTGAACGCTCGTTCCAATTAGTAGTGACAAATTGGAATTGTAATGCGATCCGTTAGACAAAGTTTATCGCAGAAAATTTTTCTTTCATAAATGTTTCTCCAACGTGGGAGCTGCACTATTGTTCTTGAAATTCTGTAACACTTGTCGTGCGCAAAAAGTCCTTTAGGAGATATTAAAATCTTTAAATTAACATTTCTTCGAGCTTAAATTATGAAATCAAACTCTGTTTGATATCACATAACACAACACTTTATTCAGCAAATTCGAATCGCGATCAACAAAACAAACTGAACAGCCCTCTAAGAACATGAAACCAAACAACAAATTTTCCTGCTTAAAATAAATAAATACTTTTTGGTTCACAAATGTTTGTCACATAAGTCTAATCAGTTATATAAGAGCAAATTTTCTTTCGTTGTAGTTTATTCAACATTCGTACAAGAGGTATGAAGTTTGTTTCTAAATAAAGTCGCCGAGCCAGCATGTACAACATATACAACACGCGTATTAAGTTCAACTCGTTTAGATTCAACTCATTTATGAATCCATGCAAAGGACCTGGCACAACATGATAAATTATTACTCCTTCTAAGCTAGTATTTGATTCATTTACAAAATTACAACAGCGGAAGTAAAAACCATAGAACTTTCTCAGAGCAGCTAAGCCTCTTTCACACAGTCAATTTGTGGGGTAAGCAAAAAATTAAGGGGGGGGGGAGAGAAAAACGAAGAAGGGGAGGGAGGGGGGAGGAATAAGGAAAAGAGAAGGAAGGACTTTTCCTAATTTGACAAATAAACTAATTGGACAGACATGAGACATTCGAAAGGGCCGGCGTCTTTAAACAAACAAATTCTACAAACAATTCATAGGAAAAATTGTATTCAGTTAATTCTTCTCGTTCGCTCAAAATTGAGCGCAAAATTATGATTCTAAAAGGTATCTTAAATAGCGATTCCCAGGAAAACAATTAGTGGGAGACATGCTATTTCATTAAAATTATACATGATGCAAGCAATATTGGATTTGCGGACGTATTAGCTCGGCTTGGAAGAAGCTTGCTTGCTTACATGCCGTGTTCGTGTACACGCATGTGTCGATTCAAATTTCCTGATTGGGAAAACTTAAGTTGACAAATCTTACATTTGTATGGTTTCTCTCCTGTGTGAGTTCGCAGGTGTTTGGTCAGAGTGGAGCTGTCGGCAAATCCCCGAGAACACATTTTGCATCGATAAGGGCGCTCACCAGTATGAGTGCGCATGTGTGTGGTGACAGAGGAGGACTGGGCAAACCTACAAAAAATATGGTTATATCGCAAATCAGTAACATGATTTCCCCCTTGAGCTTTCACAAGGATGTTACACAAAGTAGTTTTCTAGAGGTCAAGATGTAATAAACCTGGGTAAAAGGAAGGAGAATGTAGCCTGAAAGCAGCAGGACACACGTTTATCCGCCCGCGGGAAGATTTGAGAGGAGTCAGGGAGAGGTTTGCTGGGGGTCTGGCTCTAATAATTATCAGTACTAGACCCCTTGCAGCCCTCGTGTCGGCTCACATTGCTCAAGGCATTATACTTTCCTGCGAAGTAACGCGCTCGCTAATAATGATGGGTTTGCTCGCAGGTCAGAGAATATGCTAATATAGAATCCTCGGGACTAAAAACAAATTAAGAATCTATGGCTGAAATCCAGGAAAGAGTAGCACAACAAATCATGAAGGTCTATTGTAGGCTTTCTGTCAATAAGCAGTCGAAAAACACAAAGTAGATTGGATGTGGTCACTTCAAAGTCGTTATGTCAATAAGCAGTCGAAAAACACAAAGTTGATTAGATGTGGTCACTTCAAAGTCCCAGACTACCTTAACCAAGTCACAAGTTCAGTAGTTGCTTATATTACCTTCGATCGCACACCAAGCATTTGAAAGGCTTCTCCCCCGAGTGGATTCGCAAATGGGCAGTTAGATTTGCATCCTGTGAGAAAGACTTCATGCAAATGTGGCACTGGTAAGGCTTCTCTCCTGAGTGGGTCCGCATATGCGTGCGTAGGGTGGAAGGCCGGGCATATACCTTGTCGCATAGACGGCATTTATTTGCCTTGGACCCAGGCACGTCTGAGCTTTCTCTGTCAGACAGGACTGTCTCCTCTTGAAAAATGGATCCTGAATAGAAATCCTGAGTACACTCTGTGCCACATGGGTTGTGTACAGCAGCTGACAAGAAAACTGCTGTGTCCACACTTGCAGAAGCAAATCCATCCATTGAAATTGAGGAGGTCTCCAAAAGAAAACAATCAAAACTGATGGGTTAAACGATATTTTGTGAATAAAATCTTAAGTGGCTTGACACAAATCAATCTCTGTCACAATGTCATGTCAGATACATGGTAAAAAAAAGTGAAGGTAGTTGCAATATAAACCTTTGCAGCGGGAGACTAGGACCCATTTGGATTCGAGTTCAGGAAAACTGAGGACCATCACATGAAGTCGAGGCTTTCCGAAAACGTATAGGGATAAACGTTATTTATAAAGCTATTGTTTTTCAGTTTCAAATCAGCACCAATCTGAAGATGACAAATTTTAGAAGATTTGGGGCCTGGTTAGTGTTGAAATTTCAAACCTGTGATTGCGAAATCGAAGGGTCGCCCACAGAAGGGGTCCATTGCGGGGTATCCGTTGGGTTCCCCATCCTAGCACTCCTCTCAGCGGCCGCGTGTTTGAGGGACAGGAGGATCCCTGCAGCATTAAACCAAGCATCTGCGGGGTCGTCTGATGATCCCTGCTGCTCTTGTGCGGAGAGAGGACTGATGAAGATAATTGAAGAAAATGGTTAAATAATTCATTTTCTAGACCCCAGTCATCCTTGATCAGGTGAAAACTAGTCCAACAGTTTGCCTTTTCTTAACATTGTCGAACGAAAATAAACCGACATAGGCCGGCAATCCCGACAATTCTTCGACATAATCATGAAGTTCTAATCAGTATCAAAAGCCTGAGATCTCTTAAATCTCACAACCGTTTACTACTCTGATAATCTCGGTTAATTCGGTTTTAAGAGCGTTATCTTGGTTAAAATATCATTCTTTAGTCCTCATAATTTAAATGCTACGATAAGCTGAAACGCTTGACTTTGTTAAAGCCTCAAATTATACAATTAACTTATTCTTAAAAGAAATTCGGAAAACAATAATTCCTCAAATAAAATGTTTTTAAGTCAGCAAAGCTGAAACATAAACTCTTTTCATCGAAAAAACAGCTTTTTTAAACATGATGACCGGTGCTTTCACAAAGAGATAGATTTAGTATTGGAGAACCACCATCAAATATCAAATAAATGTAACGAGAAAGAGAGCTCGACATCGTTTTTGCCGACATGTTAAACCCACGAACTAACCATCGAAGCCACGAAGACGTAACCGAGTGAGGCCTTGAAAGGCTGGCCCTCCTTTCAGGTATAAAAACGGGCGAGTGTCATTAAGTAAGTAGACGTTATGTTTAAGCATTACAGATAACTGGAATTTCATACAAACTGAAAAAAACTCATTATGATTCTCAGTGCTATCCTGTTTTCCAGCAGGTACGGTTCATAAGTTTATCATTGAAGTACCTTCCGACCGGAATTTCTTTCTTTTTTTCTTGCGATTTTCGCCCTTTCATTTGCGACGAGGATTAAAAGGTTCTTGCAAATTTCCGAGTTTGATATCAGAGAAGTTTTCCAAGATATTCCTGTCGTCAACACGAACTGATTACGCAACGAAAATTCAGATGACTGCGAGCAGAGAGGGGATAAAAATTTTTAGTCTAGAAACATTGAAACTGAAGGGAAATAAATCTCATTCTTCTTTAGGATTTTAAGAAACTGAAAACATTGGTCGATTCATTTCAAGTTGCACCAAATGCGTATTAAAAATATCTCGAACTTTACCACCTGCAGATGGAAGAAATTTTTCCTCGATATCACCCGAAAAGCTAAAACAAAAAATGCTTTTCGTTTTTATTTCAAGATATTTGGTAGGAAAACCATTTTTTGGATCACCAATGTCAGTACGTGAGTATCTTCATATAATCGACCCATTTTTTCGTTTGTAATGTTTGCCTATAGGGATATGTGCCTACAATTCCATATGGAAGATCGCCGTAGAACATGCGAATACCAACAATTTTTACCCCCAAAACTAATACTCTTACGAACTTAAAAATTTAATTTGAAAAAAAAGAATTAATATTTTTCTTTGCTTCGAAAACAAATTGCCGTAGTTTCGGAAAAAAAATGGTCGTTTTAACAAAGTTATTTTCCATTTTTTCGTACCTGTCATCTGTACTTTCACTATGATTAACCTGTTGATCCTCTGATGAGTTCAATATTTGCTGAGGATTGCATTCACTTTCCTGAACCATCGAACCTTCCCAAATAGAGGCAGAAGACACCGAACTGATCAATGCTCTGGGTAGAACTGGGCTGTTATTTGAAGCCATCGATATGAAAGTGAGGCCTTGAAAGGTTGAGTTATCCATACTGCGATAATCAGGTTAGACAAATTGGGTCCACAATCAAATGCCAAAAAAAACTGTTTGTTAAAAAGCACAGCCTTCCGTCAGACTCGAAAAGATAACAGCAAAATATGATATAACTTTCTTTTTAAAGGGGTAGCTACTAACGAGAAATGAAATCATGCATTCAGATGCAAATATTTATAAATATCGGCGAACTTTGATGTGCTTGCGCGGAATGTAGGAGTGACCTGATTGGCTAAATTTGTTTTGTCAGCATTATGACGGTCGAAGGGGAACTATTTGGAAAGCACATTCTGTTCCTTGTTATTTATTATTATAATTATTTGAACTATTAGACTGTTCCGACAAAATTCCAAGACACTGCGCTCAATTCGACGCAATATAACCTTTTTGTTCTCTTTGAACCATTGTGACAGGTGTCAGCTGTTAATTAGGCGGGAGGAACACTGCTTTGATCGTTCCGCTAAAATTATAATTAGGAAATGGCAAAAACAAGTGAATAACCCTATTGGTTACTGATCACGTGATTGATCTGGTCACATGACTTAGCGGATTGAACTACTAAATCTAAAACCCTCCTTTTTTGATAGCGACACGCAAATACGCGTGATGTTGTTCTCATTTCGTCCTCAAAATTGTCATTGGATTGCCCATATGACTGTTTTGTTATCTATATTGCGTCAAGTATGGTCATTACTCGGGTTATTCGGGAGATCATCTATGTTAGGGTTTCGTGCCTCCTTTCTCGTGCCCAGAGCCCATCGATTCCCTTTACGTGAGGGGCCTTAATACAATCTAGTCAAGGCCTTGTCGGCTAAGAGAATTGATAGGCTCTTGGGACGAGGATGTGTCCATTAGCGGTGAACACAGGCTCTACATAGACTTTTCTTAGGGACGGCGCATGGCTTTGTTATAGGCAACCTCCATCCGTGTGTTGTACGCTCTGGAACTATTTTGCTAATAATCTATTCAATCAAGCAGTCACGTTTGTTAATTGCTGTTTTTTTTTTACCTTTGTAAAACAGAACCTTCTTTTTAAAGTCTTTAATTAGCAAAATACATGTAATTAGAAATGCTCCAACCTAAAAATCCTTTCAGTATTTTTCCTATTAAGCTAGATATGACTATTGTTTTCATAGTTTTTGAGCCTTCTGCGTGAACATTTTTTATTGAGCCAACTGGGAGTCTCGCAATCGATGGGACTTAAGGAGATAAAAATTCAGAAATTCAGAGGAAGGGGGAGGGAGTAGAAAAAGGAAAATCCCCCCCATCCTCACCACTGCTCTTTATGTGCTGGCTCCCTTCCGTCCCATGTTCTCACGCTTTGCACAGACTTTATGCGCAGGGCGGAATGAAAACTTAGAAGAATGATGGACATGCTGTTTGCGTTCATGATAAATAACTTTGAGGAAAAGTTGAGGAATACTCGAGAGAATTCCAACTCCGAAATTAAGCCAGTGGAGGCGGTATGAAAATTTTTTGAAAAAATGTTGTTGCCATGACGACAACACCACATGCCCCCTTTTCCGCCCAATTCTTCCAAAACTTGATTAATACAAGATAACAAATCGAATTCGCCCTCACACAATTCAACTCGAGTAATTGTTTCAGCAGTGGGAGCATAAAGTCAACGTTGGATATCTTTAGACATAGTAAACAAGCGTACAAATGATGCAACAAAGAGCTTTTTTAAGGAGCTTTTAATGGTAATGTACAATTCCATTGTTACTAAAACAAACTACAACAGGCACTACGATAGCTTAACACATTTCCTCTCTTTAAGTGACCACTGTAACAGTACATACGTAACATAAAACCTGACAATTAGCTGACTGATTGGCAGATTTTTTAAAGGTTTCCCTCTTTTTATCAGGAGTCTATCATGATACTACCCATTTACTTCGAAACACTTGAAAATTGTTTCCCTTTTTTTCTCGGCGTTATATTGCGTAAAAATTCAGTAAGATGTATGATCCTTGGATGTAAGTTAAAATAAACAATATTGACAGAATTACCTTAATGTTATTACGCTTCTGAATACCGTTACACTGTGTTGAATTAACTTTAAATGAGCCTTACTAGACCATGCATACTGACATCCGACAATGTGAAATATTCTCTTTTTTTTTAATCGTTTCCAGAGTTTCATTTTAATTAAAAGGCAAATATGGGAAAAAAGCATTTTGCAAGAAAAAAAAGTGAAAAAAAAAAAAAACCAACAACAACAACAAAAGCAAACACATGGCCTGTTCATTACATTAGCAAACTAAATAACAATTTCTTTGAACAAGCTCCATGGTCATCTCTTACAGATTAACTTTAAAAGTCGTTTTAAACTCCTTTCTTGAGGAATGATGTAGGTTAATTTAAGACCCAGTTTTGACCAGTGTGCACTACGCGCGGCGTTTGCCATCGGTGGCCATTAAGTCGATGTGGTTCTTCCACAAGCTTTGGGAAAATATTGAAACCCTCGCTCTCGTGAAAACCATAACAAAAACAGAGGCGCGCAATGCATAATGGCCAACGCTGGTTATTTAATTATTCTACCAGCATCACCGATTGTAAATATCAAAACCTAGTGACGACAACATAGTGAACAATTAAACAATAAAAGTGCAACGAGCATTAAAACAGTTTAAAAGCTAAAAAGTAAACAACAAACAATGAAGAAGAAAGACGATAGCAACTTTCAATTGAAAATACGTTATTTTTGTCAATTCTAGAGATATCTCGAAAGCTTTAGGTTTCAAACTTTCGCAGCACAGACTCTGGGCATTATATAATGTTAAAACGCACCCCTAAGATAAAACTATACTGCATAACTGTCGCATGCCTCGAAATGTCATTTTAAAAAGGCAAAAATCCACTTTTATAAAAATGCTCGAGTATATAACACGAGTCCCACTCTATGAAAGGAAAGATTTGACATATCTCATCTGAGCTGCACTATTCACGCACGAGGCGTATGCACAATGCCACGTTTGCAGCAAACACGAACAGCAAAATTTACCTATAAATTCCTTAAATTTCCTCAT